TATGTTCCTCACCCTCCCCCTTCCATCCTCCTCCCACGCGTCGAGGCTGGCGCGGCGGGCTCGACAGAAGGGCGGTTCGCCGGAGCAATTGTCCCACGAAGATGGATCGGACCCGCCGCGACATGGAGTTGTCTGAACTGCCAGTATCGATCATCTTCCTTTGGCATTCCTCATCATCCTCCTCCTTCCTACATCCTCCCTCTTACCTCCTCCCTCCTAATCCCTCCTCTTCCCTCCTCCTCCTCCTCCTCATCATCATCAACATCATCATCATCAGCATCAACATCCATCATCCATCATCATCATCATCATCATCATCATCATCATCATCATCATCATCATCATCATCATCATCATCATCATCATCATCATTATCCCTTCAGCGGCTCGCCCCGCGGGGGATCCCGCTTGAGGCGTCCTCGAAACAGCGGCCACACACACACACACGTACCGGCGGCAGTGGGAAGTAGAGGTCGGCAGGAAAAGAGGCGCAAGGGCGAGGGGAGAGGGACGGGGGCGTGGAGGGAGAGGGGGATCCAGCCAAAGAAGCCCAGCAGCACCGGGAGCACGATGTTGGTCGTCTCGCTCACAAGGTCCTGAGGAGTGGGGAGGATGACGACGACGACGACGACGAGAGCAAGAAAGAGAGCGAGGGCGAGAGTGAGCACGAAGGCGAAAATGAGGGCGAGGATAGGGCCGACAATGGGGGGAGGAGGAGGAGAAGGAAGAAAAGGAACAGCTGCGGTACGGAGGAGGAGGAGGAGGACGACGACGACGAGGAGGGGAGGGAAGAGGAGGATGGAGGAGGGAGAAGGAAGGAGGGATGAGGAGCAGCTACTCCTCCTCCTCCTCCTCCTCCTCCTCCTCCTCCTCCTCCTCCTCCTCCTCCTCCTCCTCCTCCGCCTCCTCGTCCTCCGCCTCCTCCTCCTCCGTCCTTCTCCTCCCTGATCCCTCGTCCTGTAATCGAAACATGGCCACAAGAACGTGGGTCAAGAACGCAAAGCCCTTCGCCGAGCGTCGAAGGCTCCGAGCACTTCAAGGCGGACAGCCCGCACACGAAGAACACGAGGGTACCCTTCCATCCCAAACCGAAGTCGTTTCTGACTCTCGTGCCCCTCCTCCTCCCGCTCCTCTCCTCCTCCCCCCCTCCTCCTCCTCCCTCCTCCTCCTCCTCCTCCTCCTCCTCCTCCTCCTCCTCCTCCTCCCCTCCTCCTCCCCCTCTCCTCCTCCCTCCTCCTCCTCCTCCTCCCCCCCTCCTCCTCCCTGGCGCTCCTCGGCGCCGCCGCGGGCGCGCAGGGTGGCCCGCCCGCGCACCCTGTCCGCCGCGTCCGCGACGCCGAGGACGGTGCCCTTCGCCGCCTCCCGGCCAGCGCAGGGGGCTCGTCGACCGCCGCCCGCCGCCGGCCGCCGCCGTCGTCCGCCGCCTCGTGCAGGGCACGAGGCTCGTCCTCGACTCTGGCTCGGCTCAAGAGATCGGCTCGAGCTCTGCTCGAGTCGGCGGACGCTCGACGCAGCATCGACCCATGAGCGGAGCGAGCGGCCCTGGGGAAGGCCCCCCGAAGTGGCAGCGGACCCGCTGGCGCCTCCTCCCGTCTTCTCGAGAGCGTCCCTGGCCCTCCGACGTCCTGCGGGAAGCGGGGAGGACGGCCGTCGTCTTGCTGCAGTCCTCGACGTCCGGGGGCCGCTTCTGGGCCCCGAGCCGTGCAACAAGAAACGACAAAGGGTCCAAACAATGCCCCCAGGGAAAGGATCGAAAAGCCCAGGGCCTCCGCCTGGAGCAAGAAAGCATGAGAAAACGGAGATATGCGTTGTTCGCTATTCCTTGAGGTTTGCGGGCCCTGGGGTGCGTTCAATCGGCTGCGCCTCGTCGAGAAACTTCCAGATAGCCCGGAGTCATCCAGAACAGCCTCCTGGAGCCCTTGCAGCGGGCGTTGCTTACAAGGGGGGTATACGTGGGGGCGAAGAAACGTTCACCTTTCTTCACTCCTGGGAGCGGAGGATAAGGAAGTACGAGGACGAAGATGAGGAGCCCTCTCCTTTTTCTTTTGCTGGGGGTCGCGGCCCTGGATAAAAAAACTGTCTCGCTGTACAGCAAGATCTAAAATTACCTCGTCCTGACCAGGACTCTCCCGGGTTGAAATTTGTATCACCCGTGCTGTGCAACTGACATATGGCACAGATACGAAGAGACGAGCCGTCGGAACAGCCGATGACACCGCAAAGGTGATTCATCTGCGCAAGAAACTCAGTACCAAGGCGAGGGACCTGAAGGAAGGAATTCAACACTTCTCTTCCCCCACACGCACACTCCGAACTGCCAAGAAGTACCCGCTCAAGTCCAACCATACACAAGGTCCGCGGGAGCACCAGACTTGGGTGCAGGTATAATGTGTCAATGCCAAGTAGACCACATTTAGGCCACTTAGTAAACAGCTGAGTAGAGAGCGCTATTACAGCTCCGGCAAATAACTTCGAAATAGAAGGTGATGTGATACTGGGTCGGGACATCAGTACGTGGGTAGACAACGGACCCATGCTTGGAGGCAAAGCCCAAGAAGTGGTTGCTCTTTCGCCGAATGGCCTCCACTCCCGAAATCCCGATCATGTCGAGCTCCTCACGAACCGCGACCTTCGCGACTTCCTGGGTCTTCCCAGGCGCGCCCCCCAATAACCTTCCAGGATGGAACCGCCATGGGCCCGCTTCCCGAGAGCCGAACAAGTCCCCGAGAACCTACCGAAACTTTGCTAACACAGCCTGTGTCAAGGTGACATGCGCCGTCGAGGTTGACCCCCGCGGCCGCGAAATCGGCGAATTCCCCAGCATGCGGGTATGTGGTATGTGGGCCCACAGAAAGCCAAAACACCATGCCAAAGCAGAGCCCTCGATCAGAGGTCTGAGCGACCCCCCCACCCCCCAAAGACCCCGAGAGTTCTGCAATGACAAATTTCAACCAACTGCCACCAAAAGAAAATCGTCTGGACAAACGGAAGCCTTCTGATCCTGGTCAAGTCGAACGAGGAAGAAGAGGAGGAGGACGAGGACGAGCACGAGAAGAATGAAGGCGACAAAAACGACGAGGAGGGGTAGGAGGACAGAAGCGTGGAGGATGAGGAGGACAGCGTAGATGAGGAGGGGATAGCGGGGAGGACGAGTAGGATGAGGCTTTCTCTCTCTCTCTCTCTCTCTCCCGGGGAAAAGGAGGAGGAGGAGGCCGGGGACGACGAAGAGGAGGACGAGTAGAAGAACGAGGGAGAGAACAAGGACGACGGGAAAGATGACAAGGAGCAGGACAACGTGTAGGACAGCGTGGAGGACAGTAAGGAGTACTAGAAAGAAGGCGACAAGGAGGAGAACGACCGAGAAAAGGGGACGAGGAGCACGAGGAGAAGGACGTGAACGAAATACTGTTCCTTGGGACTTTTCGGGGCTATCCTGGGAGCTGTTGGGACCGTCTGGGGCTGTCGTGGAGCATCTAGGCAGCCTCTTGAAAGCGCCCTAGGGGTCCTCTTGGGGGCTTCTGCGGCCTTCTGGGGCTGTCTTGGCGAGCCTCGGTGCTCTTTGGGAGCGCCTCTTGGGGCCTGCGAAGCTCTTTTCGGGCCCTTCTGGAGACGCCCGGAGGGACCTCAAGAAGCGATGCCGAGACGATGCTCGACTCTGTCGGGATGTCTTTCTAGGGCCGAGACAGCCAAATCCCACCATCCCACACAACCAAAATACCATCATCTCGATCCGCTCTTCCGACCTCCTCTATCCTCACTCCTCACTTCTCCCTCCTCATCCTCCTCCTCATCCTCCTCGTCATCGTCCTCCGTCTCCTCCTCCTCCTCCTTCTCCTCCTCTATCCTCATCATCAATTACTCCACTTCTCCTCCCCCTCCAATATATCTTCCTTCTCGTCCTACTCATCCTCCTCCCTACTCCTCACCCTCATCCTTATATCCCTTTCCTCCTGCCTCCCATCTCCTCCTCATCATCATCCACACCTGCCACTTCTCCCTCCTGCGCATCCTCCTCTCCCTGCCCCTGAGGCCACCTAAGGCGTCCTGGGGCTTCCTGAGGCCACATGGGAACCTGCATGGGATCCTCCTGGGGACCTCCCAATGGCCTCCTGGGCCTCTGAGGCCAGCGACGAACAACGACCAACGACAGCGGCGGCGGCGACGACGGCGTGGCGTGACCGGTTCGGGGCCGCGGCTCGTTGTTTGCGCCGCTCGGGGCCCAGAAGCGGCTCCCGGATACCGAAGACTGCGACAAAAAACAGCCCGCCCTGCTTTGTTCAGGACGTCAGAGGGCCAGGACCGTCTGAAAAGATTCCAGGAGGAGGAAGGGAGGAGGAGGCGGAAGGGGGGACGAACTCAAATCCCCGACTTCGTGACTTTCTCACAACGCGGACCCCCGGAGGTCTCGACGAATTCCCCGGGACCGGCTCTTCATCCTGAATCGTTTTCGAACAGTCCCCAGGACCCGGCGAATGCCCCAGAGGGCGAAGATAGCACAAACCCTCCATTGTGATTTCTGCCACGGCACACGCGGGGGCGGCAGCGACGGCGGCGGCGGCGGCAAAAATGGCAGCGACGCCGTCGGCGTGTGCCAGACGTTCTTCTGTTCTTCATCGTCGGTTCCTTCCGTTCGTCGTCGTCGTCGGCGTCGGCGTCGGCGTCGGCGTCGGCGTCGGCGTTGGCGTCGGCGTCGGCGTCGGCGTCGGCGTCGGCGTGGGCGTCGGAATCGCGTCGGCTTCGGCGTCGGCGTCGGCGTCAGCTTCGTCGTCGGCGTCGGCGTCGGCGACGGCGACGGCGTCGGCGTCGGCGTCGGCGTCGGCGTCGGCGTCGGCGTCGGCATCGGCGTCGGCGTCGGCGTCGGCGTCGACGTCGGCGTCGGCGACGGCGTGGGCGTCGGCGTCGGCGTCGTCGTCGTCCGCGTTGTCGTCGTCGTCGGCGTCAACATCTGCGTCGGCGTCGGCGTCGGCATCAACGGCGGCGTCGGCGTCGACGTCGGCGTC